AGCGGATCATGTTTCTTTCAAGTTACAGCCCAAACGTTTATATGTATTTTCAAATTTGTTTGTATTTTTAAAGCTTTGTATCTAAGCCTGTTTACCCTACGTTGAATTACCCTAAGTTATGAACAGTTTTGTAAATCCTGTGCCACTGACCATCCGACCGCTTCAGTGTTGCCATTGTTTCATTTGATCTCACCCACTTCGTTTACCTTCTTTTCCTCCATTATTCTTACCGTTAATCAGTGACCGGTGTTGTGGCACCTTGCGGAACTTATGTGCGTTTGTTTTTATTCATAACCTATATAATCTTTTAGGCATTTAACCACTGGCTTAAGCTACCGGAAGATGTTATCTCGAGAATCAACACAATAGTCGATATGCTTCATAATGCCGGATTGATGTAAGTCGTGTAATTGACGTACGTATCTTGTTTAAATGAAATAATGCAAATGAAAGAAACCGCATGTATGTGCGTTCGTTGTTATATGCATATCATGATTAATTCCGCAGCGTTAATTAGTGGTCATTTATGACAGAAAAATGACGACCCGTTTCCTGGTCTCTTGGGGAATAAATGCACGCTGTGGTTCTAATTTCGTCTTGAAAACATACCTATTGCTACTGAAAAGTATTAAATGCACTTATAAAAGTTGGTTGAGTTCCCTAATTTTTTGCAAGCCTTCGTTAATAGAGTATTTTTCCTTAAAATCGTGAATCGATCTCAGCCAACAGTTAGTTTGCAATATTCAGCATGATGACATATCTTTGACTAAATTCCATAGTGACTATGAAGAATGTTCCTTATCGCACTTCGCCCTGTTCGGCACTCCAGTATTTTCGTCGTTGCCCTTTCCACAGTTTTGATGTAAGATAAACAGTACAGGAACCGTTATATTAATCACTTATTATGCAAGTATTGGATTATGCTTCACATAAAGTGTTCCTGTTGGGTGTGGGCTTTATAACCTTATCATGGTTGCATTACTGCTTAAACCGCTGCATCACCGCGTCCAGAAATATTTATAATTGTGTGATCTTTGCGAAGCCGTGTACATATAATCAGCTTGCGGCTGCATTTCGTTTGTAGGGAACTTTTAAGGCAGAATGATACTGCTGTTCTCTTTGCAGACGGAATTTGATCCAGCAGCAGTAGTGTTAAGAGCGATATCATTCATCAGTCTCATTAAGATTTTGGAATTTTCTTTTTGCTTATTCACTTCCTCCTATTAATGTTTACAACCATGCATGTATTGAACTGTTCAATAGGATCGACGACATAGAGGATAACTCAGTTTTGCGGCGTGGAATGCCAGTCACACATAAAATATATGGTGTACCCCTAACCATCAATTCTGCGAACTATGTTTACTTTTTGGCACTGCAGGAGACAATGCGTTTGAATCATCCCAAAGCGGTAGAAATATTTACCGGTAAGCTTAAGCGACTCTTCTCTCGGTTGATGAATAAACGAATATGTACGATGCTTGCAGAGCAGCTATTGGCCCTCCATCGCGGACAGGCCTTGGACATTTACTGGCGAGACACGGTTAGTTGTCCAACCGAAGAGCAGTACACCGAAATGGTCTTGCAGAGTAAAGATTTTCAGTTTCCTGCTCATTAACTACGATATATTTTTTGCTGATCCTCTTTTAGAAACAGGTGGTCTCTTCTTCCTTGCCATTAAGTTGATGCAACTCTTCTCTGACAACAAACAAAACTACTCACAACTTCTGACTGCGCTGTCTATCTATTTTCAGATTCGCGACGATTACTGCAATTTACAAGCACCTGATGTACGTATTTTTTGGTAACTAGCATTTTTTTGCTAATTAGAAACTTTAACGACCGTCTGCAACGGTCTTGTTTTACGATCAATAAGTAAAATAAAATTCTAAGAAATGTTTTTGTGTCTAAGGATTGCTTTCTAATTCTGATTTCATGCCATTGACACTTCGTTGCTAATTTTACTTTGGTTTACTCGGAGTGAAATATTGAATCACATGAACTATCCTTTGGCTAGATTTTGAAAAAATCTTTAAATTTCATCTATCTCTCCTTGCGCGGGAATTGGGCAACTGGTAACAAATTTTTGCTACCTAAAAGAAATAGGCAACCGTCGTTGAAACTTTTCATACGTTTTATTTACCCCTTATTTGAGCGACAGTGGGAAGCTATCACAACTGGTCTGCGGATCTTAATGCTACTTTATTATCGATCTTTGATCGAGTCACGCAAGCTGTGTCGCGCTCTGGTCATCAAGTGATCTCTAAGCCCCTTGAGATGGACCTGCAGATAATCAGCCCAGACTAGACGCTGTAGAGCGTGTGTCAGTGACCTTCAGATCTTCTACGTTAAGAAATTCAAAACCAATAGGCGCTTCAACAACGTCAGATTCCATGACCATATCCGATGCGCAGATTTCGTAGAGCTAAGGTGACCAATCTCCATCATTGATATTATCAGTCATCGCGGAAACACCCTGTTTGTCAAGGCGTCGTGGCAGCGAACTGAGAAATTGCTTTTTCCCAGAAATGCTTTCCGTTCGCCCTAAACATTGGCTACAGTCTCGAAGCAGCCTGCGGAACAAGTAGTCGACAGCGCTTGTTCCAGCAGATCTGTTAACTTAGAGAATCATTTCAGTAACCTCAGAGCCAGAGGTTGCATTTTGTCGGCGCAATGATCCTTATGCCTAGCACGCTCTGCAAGTGATGCCTTAAAGATACCGCTTTATTTTGCCTTATTTTTTATCTTTTCATGCATTGAGTTGAAGCTGTTATATTGCCATCCTTACATTGCATTGTGAACAGTTACAAGGATTCTTTGAAAGCCGGTTAACCCTAACATGTAAAGTGACGTAACTTCTAATTTTTGCAAGCATTAACTCTGAGCTTCAGAAGCTCAGTGGCATTTGCCATTTGACAATAATTTAATTGGTAAACGTGGCACTGGGACATGTCCTCAAGATGAAGGGAGTGTTTAATTGTTTTGTTGACCATCGAAAATTGGTCGTGCAAGGAGAAAGTATGTTAATCAAATTATCGAACTTACATGCAACTAAAATATGGTTAATAAATGAAAATCTTAGACTTAAAATAGAGTTAGTGAAATAAAATGAATTAAATACTACTTAAATCGACTTCAACAAGGCAGAAACGCGTGTCAGAAAAATAGGGTTAAGGTGGGTAATAGATGACTGAAAAATAATATCTATTTGACCACTTGACAGTGCCTTAGCAACCAAATTATTTGGAGTTCAAGATGGCGTGACGTCTTCTAAACACGTCTGTTACAGTGGCCAGAATCAGTGATACCGGAAGAAAAATTTCTGTCGTAACAAGAAATGCACATTTTATATAATTTTATTTATGTCTATGGAGTCCTCA